TACTTTGTTCTGCGGCTTGCCAGAAACGTGGGAGCATTTGGGGAAAATTGGAGCAAATAAAGGGCGGTTTGAACTGCCAGTTGACTGTTTTGCCTCTGTGCTGTGCCCTGGGTCATCACAATGGCACTACATCCACATGGAGAAAGTAAGTAGTGGGGTACCACAAGGTTCTTTCTTAGGCCCAGTACTCTTCAATATATTCATAAAAGATGAGTGAATTGAAGGGGAACTCATCAAATTTACAGATGACACCAAACTAGCAGGAGTAGCCAATAATCCAGAAGACAAACTCAGGATCCAAAAATATCTTGACAAACTTGAACAATGGGCTCTATCCAACAAAATGAGTTTCAATGTGGAGAAAAGCAAAGTTTTACATTTAGGCAGGAAAATTGAAATATACAAGTACAGATTGAGCAAGACCTGGCTTAAAAACAGTAACTAGTGGATGATCACTTGACCATGAGCCAGCAGTGTGCAGCAGCAGCCAAAAAAGCTAATACAATCCTGGGTTGTATAAACAGAGGCATAGAATCAAGATCACCAAAGTATTAGTACCGCTTTATAAAATCCTAGTAAGACCACACCTGGAATACTGCAGCCAATTTTGGTCAAAATATCACAAAAAAGTTGTTGAGAATTTGGAAAAAATTCAGAGAAGAGCAACTAAGATGATCAAAGACCTGGAGACTAAAACATACGAAGAACGGCTGCAGGACTTGGGTTTGGCTAGTTTAAAGAAAAGAAGAAACAGGGGCGACATGATAGCAATATTCCAATATTTGAGGGGCTGCCATAAAGACGAGGGGGTCCCATTCTTCTCCAAAGCACCAGAGGGCAGGACAAGAAACAATGGTTGGAAACTGAACAAAGAGAAAAGCAACCTAGAATTAAGGAGAAACTTCCTGATAGGGAGGACAATTAACCAGTGGAACCACTTGCCTCCAGAAATTGTGGGCGCTCCATCACTGGAGATTTTTAAGAAGAGACTAGACAGTCACTTGTCTGAAATGGTATAGATTCTCCTGCTTAAGTGGGGGGCTGGACTAGAAGACCTCCAAGGTCCCTTCCAGTTCTGTTCTGTTCTGTTCTGTTCTATTCTATTCCATTCCATTCCATTCCATTCCATTCTAGCCTTTACTTTTTCTCATCTCATGATTTTAATTTCATTGTTTTATCATTTCTTACTCCTTTTCTGCCTTATATGACTTTCTTAATCCAAATAGTATCATGGGTATGGATAATTAATGGAGAATAGGCTTCTTGGAAAAGGCAGGTGTAAAAAAAAATACTCTAAATCAGGCTTACTTATAGGTAAATCAATAAAGGGCTTCAACCTCAAAGAAACAATAGATAATCTGGACTTTTGAAAACCTTTGGTGATTTTTTTCCCCTCGCATTTTTTTTCGTATTCTTTTTCTCCTGGAGAATTTTCATTTCAGTATTAATGCACTCCATGAATTTGTATGATTTTTTTAATTAAATCAATTCATGGATTTTTGCAAGCAGCACTAGTGCCTCTGATAGAGTAACTGCTCCTATTTATTTCATAGAAGCTGTGAATGATATGTATTTTAGTAAATTAGCCAATTATTCAAACTCTTTGAAATATCTGAAAGAGATATATAAAAAACTCTGTACAACAGCATGTCTATGTTTTCCAAATTAGTTTTTTCATAATCAAGATATATTTATATGTTATGGAACTGAAACCATGGAACAGACTTGGGTATGGGTGTCACAGCAGTTATTAATCTCCCTTTCATATCACAAGATGAGTTTCAGTAGGAAAGGATATCTCTGTACTGTTTCTGTAATTTCAATTTTCTAACATTTATGATCATGTCCTTTATATAGTTTGTCTTTGTCCTATACTACACAATCATACCACATCTCTGATACAAGAGTCTTTGCTGCTATTCAACATGTGGATTTTACAGATCATATCCCATAGCCACACCTAACAATTGATCATATCAAACTGAGTGTGATACATTATTTTTAAGCACTGATTTTTTTATAAATTGTTATTTATGTATTCAATTTATGTATTCAGTTCTCAGAAGATTGTAATCATATTCGTCAAATGAGAATTAATGAAGTTTATAAAACTGAAACAACTTGCTTCTTTTGTTTATTTTGAATAAAGTTTTGAGGACACATTCAAATCCAATACTTTTTTCCCTGAAGTTTCACTTTCCTGTAATCCAAAATGCTGCAGGGAGGCTTTTTTAGACAATAAACCAAAATGTATCATGACATTCATAATTTATGTACATAAACGTTGTTCCATACTTTGACTGCATATTTTATAATTTCTCTAAAACTGCATGGTTTTCTTCCAAAACCCAACAGTGATTAACATTATGGAATAACAATTGCTATGGATTAAACAACCTGAGTTTTTAAAAAAATCAGATTGCACTTTTATGGCAGCAAAGAAATACATAATACAGAAATTCAGAATACCTATTCCGGATAGATTCAAAAGAGCAGCACACAACTGTAAAAGTTGTTTTTATTACAAGCACAGAAAGAGTACAAAAGGGTCGTGTCACTTCAGTTGGTGGGAACTGACTTAGACAACAGCTGATGAACCATGGAATGAATGATTCTCACATTAATCTTGTCAATGAAAAAACTCAAAATGGTATATTTATAAAACATACCCATTTGTTTTTAATTGTTATGCATTCCAAAATTTAACTAAATGCATTATCTCAAATTAAGTGCTTTTGGGACTTTAGAGGTCTAATGTTAGAGAGAAAAACACATTACTACACACAATTTCATAAAATTTTCATCTCTACTCTCTAAAACCATATTAACTCTTAAATACAAAAACAGATATTCAACTGTGTACCATATATACAATAAAATACAGGTATGTTATGCAGGAATTGTCCCATTCCAGACTGATTTTCCTAAATTATTTATCAGAATCACCTCTATCTTGTGTAAATTAATATAAAATATTTAGCCTTCATGCATTCTATTACTATGTGATTAAGAGAGAAAAAAGGCAGAAAAAATTGTGGGTTGGATGCGATTCCCTTCCCACAAAATAAGGATAGTTATAGACAAAAGGTAATCTATGAATATCTATGAATGGATGTGGCAGGATAAATTGTTGTTGTTGTTAATTGTGAAGTCGTGTCCGACCCATCGCGACCCCATGGACAACGCTCCTCCAGGCCTTCCTGTCCTCTACCATCTTCTGGAGTCCATTTAAGCTCCCGCCTACTGCTTCAGTGACTCCATCCAGCCACCTCATTCTCTGTCATCCCCTTCTTCTGTTGCCCTCAATCTTTCCCAGCATTAGGCCCTTCTCCAGTGAGTCCTTCCTTCTCATTAGGTTGCCAAAGTATTTGAGTTTCAACTTCAGGATCTGGCCTTCTAAAGAACAGTCGGGGTTGATCTCTTCTAGGACTGACTGGTTGGAACACTTTGCAGTCCAAGGGACTCGCAGGAGTCTTCTTCAGCACCATAGTTCAAAGGCCTCAATTCTTTGGCGCTCAGCCTTTCTTATGGTCCAACTTTGCAACTGGAAAATCCATGGCCTTGACTATACACACTTTCATTGGCAGCGTGATGTCTCTGCAGGATAAATTATAAGAACAAAATTGTATAGAAAATGTAGTGAATAGTGTGGTGTATTTAATTTTTTTTTATGGTCTTTCTCCAATATATTTTCTTTTAATCTCTTTATGTAATTTACTGACCATGAAAAGAAATAATGTAATGTTACATAGGTGTAAGTACAAATACAAAATAAATAGCTTTTTGCGTAAACATTTTAAAAAATGAGTGGATTTCTAAAAACCCTAAGATCATTTCAAAAAAAAAATGTTCTATTTCTTTTTTTTATAGTGATTTTCTTATTATTTTGTTATAAAACTTACACAATATATACATTGTTTTGCTAAACATGTAGTCATGAACTTAACAACAGTTCACTTAGTGACTATTCAAAATTACAACGGTTGCAGGATCTTGGGATCACGTGATCACCTTTTGTGACCTTCTGACAAGCAAAGTGAAAGGGGAAGTCAAATTCACTTCACAACTTAATAACTGTCTTACTAACTTCTGCAGTGATTCATCTAACAAGCAAAGAACTGTGTTACTAACAATAGTGTTATTAACAATTGCAGTGATTCACCTAACAACCTATCAGCTATGGCCAGAAAGGTTGTAAAGTGGGACAAAACTCATTTAACAACTGTCTCTCTCAGCAATAGAGATTTTGGGCTGAATTGCGGTCATAATGGAGGACTACCTGTTGTGGTATTTGTACAGTATTGATTAAAAAATGTCACCACTGCAATGTTTAAACAGCTCATATCAATAAGGATACAAAAAAAGAAAGAAATGTTAAATAATCTTAATAATAGTTTCAAATGTCAGTATTAATAAGTGTAAAATTATTTGGCTTTTTTATCCAGAATTGAAAATAACATGAAAAAATTGCTGCAGGTTACATCAAAGTATTTTTTTGTACAATAAAGGTTTTAGTCTGAAGCTGATTACTTAGTTTTAAGATCTCCATTGTTTTGTTACTTAATATTGTTTGTGCATACTGAAAAGGAAAAGATAAACAAAGCAAATTTGACAATGATTAAAATAGCAATAGATAAAAGGAGGAAAAAAAAGGCGTGAGGAAAGAAAATAGTCTTAAGGGAAAAATATTTGGATTGCAATCTAATTATATTAAAGATAATGAGGAGCAGAATCTCATTCTGACAGTTCTGTCTTTTGGTTCTTATTGAAATTGCATTTCCCATCTGTGTCTGTGTACATTTGGGAATGACAACATGGATAGTTCTGTAAGACAAAGGAATGTCGGGAAATAGAACTTGTTTGCCTTGATAAGATAAGCAAATATGATGAAAGGTACATTTTTTATTTGCTATTTTAAAATGATTTTATGTTCTGTAGTCTTCTTTTGCCTTTTATTGTCAGCCCTTGATGCTAAATTATAGCAAACTTTATTTTTACAGATGTTAAATATTTAAAAGAAGAGGATGCAAATCGGAAAACATTTACTGTTAGCAGCACAATGAATTACAGAGCAGATCGTTCTGATGATGGTGCAGTTGTAAGTTGCAGAGTAGATCATGAATCGTTGAATTCCACACCTCAGATAGCAATGCAAGTCCTAGAAATACACTGTAAGTATTACGTATCTGAATTTTATGAATGATGAACTAGTGTGAATATTCTTTATGTTTTGAGATTTTATTCATTATTTGGAGTTTTGGACATTACATTTTCCTTCTATAGTTATAATTTTAAAAATTATTTAAAATATGTGTAACAACACAATGGGGATGTAACATTATTAAATAACTATCACAATATTGTCCATGTCTTGATATTGCTACAATTATCTATTGATTCGTAGATGTCCATAGAAGTTATGTATGGACTCATACAGCTAAAAGCTAATTAGTTCCATGTGACTGTGATACGTGGAAATCATATTCGTGCTGGATGTTTGGATACCTAAATTAGAACATCTCATGAGTCCTGACAAAACATGTCTACTTGGTTTATGCATCCTTTAAATAGCGAACAAATTACAACTTGAAGTCATGAATCCAATACCACCAAAATTATATTTTGATTGAAATAAGATACTAAAATATAGTACAGCATTTCTAAATTTTCAGAAATTGAATAAAACTTGAGGTGAAATGTATTAACATTTTTATACTTCTTTTTTCTTGTCTTTTCAGAAATAAAACATTTGATATATTTTTATTGTTTTAAATTATGGAAAATCACATATCTTGTTTGTTGTTCTGAAAAGTTTTTGTATCTGTTAAAATTATTCAGAAAAACCAATTTGAGTATTTTAGATTGAAACATCAAAATATTAATGGTATTTGTTCTGCCTATTCTTTTTACACCTGACATATTTTTTTTAAATAAACATAATTTTTAATTCCTTTTGACCTTATATATTAAAACTATCAAAATAATAACAGCAAAAAGCTATTGTTTAAAACCCTAGCTTACATTGAATCTGATTATTTTATTTATTTTTTATGTAGGGACTGCTGCATGAAGTGTACTATATACTGTGGCTTATTAGTCAGAATATTTATGTCAACTGTTAGTCTTTATTAATCTCTAGTCTCAATATGCATTATTTTTAACTATTTTAGTTGTCAATATAACTTATCATTATAGATCTATCTGATTAAGAAATTGGAAGTAATTGGAAACTTAACAAAAGAAGATCCAATTCTTTATACTGCCCTGGATTTTTTCTATAGATTTACATAAGGAAACTTATCAGACTTGGAACCTGAAATTTCCAAACTGGTAATTGTGACAAATATTGGTGCTAGATTTGTATGTAGTGTTCCTGATGGAGAAATAACCACAAATTTGTATAAGGGCATTAGAAAAGTTACTTTCAATTTCTTTCCTTATGAGCCCTAGTATGGAATTTGTTGTTTTCATACCTATTGTGCATTAAAACCACATGAACCATCTATTTTTCCATCCAAGATTTTTTTTTCTTGGTTCATTGCAGAAAACTCCATCAGCATGTATGTATATGTACTGTAATTATTTTGCTATATTTATAAATTAAAAAATTACAAAGATACCATAAGACACTCGTGCTGCTCTTCTCAAGCTGCAGATTGTAATACTGAAGCAATTAACTGGACATAAATACTATTGGTGTGGATTAAGAAAACATCTATAAGATTGTGCTGTAAACTAAAGCATACAGTAATTATTTCTCCTCTCCTGAGGTGCAAACTTAATGATTGGATATAAAACATCTGATTCAAATACCCTTATACAGTAAAAACATTTGATACGGCTTTGATTCATGATATTTGTAGAATTTTTGTAATATAATTTGAAAAACTATTAGCAAATTTAGCAATGTGATTATTTTCAATATTTTTTTTATTTTTTAGAAACAGTGGTATTAGCAAAAGATTTACAGTATAGTAGTATATGTAGGTAAAAAAACATTGTTACATTGGTTTTAAAGAAAGATGGCTAGAATCTATTCTGGATCTTCCTACACCATTGTGTACAGTCCTGCTACAGAAAGCTACAGAAAGCAATTTCCAACTATTTGCTATTTCACTTTTGTGTTTAGATATATTGAGAATGCTACAAAAATGATAATGATAGAAGAATCATGAAGGAGCCTATGGACACTAGCTATGGTTTTTCATGATACTATAGAGAAAGAATGTGTACCACATTCTATTTTGGGCTCTTCATTAATTCTATTTCATCTGAGCAGGAATAGAAATTGGCAAGTTTGGGTTGAATAAGTGAGAGAAAAGAGTTATTTGTGTCCTATCTCTCAAATTAAACTTCTCAATAATTTCCCCAAAATGTGTGTTTCAATTTATTCCTTCCTTGATTTTACCTCTATAAGTTAAATTTAAATAATTGTTGCGGTTATTCATTAGCTAACTTGTACTGATATTAAGTTCATCATGGTCATAGAACCTGCATTTAGTGAGGAAAGAAAAGTGGTTTTTAACAGAGAACATTACCAATAGTCTCAGAAGAGATAACACAGTGCAAAGCAGTAATATCAATTGCAACTCTGTTTTATGGATGATAGAAGATACTGTTCACCTCTAGAAAATGTCACATATTTTGTGAAAAATCAGTGGGTTTTACATAGTTTTCACTGCTTACTGCATTTACTTTAATACCAAAAAAAGGAGAAGGCATCTGTTAAAGCAAAAGTGCAAGGCATGAACTAGAATGAACCCAGGTTCCTTCTTCAATGTATACATTATACCAGTGGTGGCGAACCTATGGCACGGGTGCCAGAGGTGGCACTTGGAGCCCTCTCTGTGGGCACACGTGCCGTTGCCCCAGCCTTGCCGCCCCAGCGACTCCCTCACCAACAGCCCTCCTGGAGAAGAGTCACCCCCGAGCGTGGCCCATGCGAGCAGTGCAGCCAAGGACATGGCAGCCAGGCAGTGTAGACAAGACTCTGTCCTCACGCCCCATTGCGCACAGTTGATGCTGCGGGGCGTGGGCAAAGGGTGTGACCGCCATGGCACTGCTGGGCGATCTGCGGCAGGCCCTGGAGGCGGTGAGTGGTCCTGCGGGCAGGCGGAGTGGGGGTGGGGCAGGGGAGAGGCAGGGGGTGGAGCAGGGCTGGGGCCAGGTTTTGGGCACTCGGTCTCTAAAAGGTTCGCCATCACTGCATTATACTGTGCTCTTCATTAAGCATAATTATATAACTATATATCTATAATGCAATAATTTAAAAGGGAATCAGTGACTTGAAAAATACTATAAAATATTGAAGGCATAGATCAATATCTTACTGATTTATTTTATTAAAAGAATGTTGGATTTTTAAGCATAACTAATGAGTTCATTGCTATATTCAAATTTCTTAAGATACAGGCCTTAAGTTAAAACTAAGAAGTAAATTTAGTAATAGGGTATATTACCACATACTAAAGTAAATAACATAAAAATACCTAGTAATTGCCTAATAAACATTGCCTAATAACTATTGTGATAATACTTTTGCAAAAATAATATTTATTTCAGAATATACATTTCCTATTAAAAGTGCAATATCTAGTTGTCATTTATTTTCTCTAGAATACTTTCTCTTCTTTATTTTCTCTCAGCTATCTCTCTGGATGGTTTTCGTCATATAACTAAAATAATATCAATTTCATAGGTTTGTTTCATACAAATTTCAAAAACTAAAGTATATTATTTTATATTTAAAGTATATTATGCATAATATATAATTAATTCAATGCTTATATTTGATTATCATATATTGTATTTTTTTAATACTGTCCAGAAAATTAAGAAAGAAACCACTGAAAAATAAGACTGATTCTATAATGTTATTATTAGGTGGTTAAAAATATTTTTTGCTCTTTTTATTTTCCAGACTTATTCTGGAGTTGGGGTTCAGAAACATTTTTTTGTGAAAAGGCTGAAGATAGAAGAGATAACCCTTATTGTCATTTTTTACTGTGAGCACACTGGCCCACATTAAAAATGACATTCTGTCATTCTGTATATATCTACCCATACACATACATAACACACACATACACATGCTATATACATACATATACATATCTCTCTATATCTATCTATCTATCTATCTATCTATCTATCTATCTATCTATCTATCTATCTATCTATCTATCTATCTACCTATCTATCTATCTTTCCGCTATGTGTTAAAAATGGACAGTGATTTGTATATATATGTGTGTGTGTGTGTGTGTGTGTGTGTGTTTGTATGTATGTATGTATGTATGTATGTATGTATGTATGTATATGTATATGTATATATTAATCACTGTCCATTTTTAACACATAGCGGAAAGAGTCCGCTATGAATTATATTAACACTTTAAATATGCAGACATTGTTATATCATAAAACTTTGAAATTATTTTCAGTTCAGTTTTTGAATAAAATAGTAGAAAGAAAACCAGATATATGAAGAATAAAACATACTAATTGCTCTGAAATACTTACAGGGAAGAATTGCTGATAGTCTGCACAAAAATTAAATAGGAATGTAAATATATTGGCAAATGAGTTTAGCAACGCAATACTACAGCAGGTGCACTCTTGGATATGAAATGTTATGAAAATTATTTTTAAAATCTTAGTCACAAGCACTCGCTGCGTTAGTATGCTATGTCTGAAACATTTACTTTCTTAAGTGAGTTGCAGGTGTTAAAAGTGTGGCTTTTTTTTAGAAAGAGAAAGAAATGTTTCCAGTTTATTACATAATCTACATAGTCCTTACCGTATAAACTTCATTTGGATGAAAGAAGCATAATTTTTATTAGATGAAATATCTGACTACCAAACACATGATAGATATGTCATAAGCCACAAACCAGAATAATAGTTTTTTACAGATATGAGTAACTATAAAAATTGCAAAGTAGTCTTTAAACTCTAACAACAGGACCATGGTTTGAAACCAAACCAAACTACACTTTTCCACCTTTCCTGGTAATAAATTAAAATGAATTAAATAGATGATTATTTTGTCTCCTGACATCTCCATTTAATTACTTGAATTGGCTTCATTTAATAGCCTAACTGTAGTCTGCTTTGTCACAGCATTAGGAAGGGCCTGCAACATCGATATCTAGAATGATCTAGGCCAGTGGTAGTGAACTTATGGCACGGGTGCCAGAGGCGGCACTCAGAGCCCTCTCTGTAGGCACGTGCGCCGTCGCCCCAGTCCTAGGCCCTCAGCTGGGTTTTAGAAAACATTTTCGCTTTAGGCGTCTGCCGCCGTGTGCAAAAAAAAAAAAAGATTCAATCAGTCAATTTCAACTTCTCGCGGGAAAAAAAAAGATCTTGGAAAGTTGGAATTGATTGATTGAACTTTTTAGTCCCACCCAGTCTGCCGTTACCACCGCAGCCACGCCCACCCAATGGGCCACACCACCCAATGGGCCATACCCACCCGGCACTTGACGATGCATAAGTGGGTTTTGGGTTGCAGTTTGGGCATTCAGTCTCTAAAAGGTTCGCCATCACTGACCTAGGCAAAGTCTCATCTTATATATAGCATTTTTGGAAGACAATTTAGCAGATGTTATCTCCCATTTCATAGGAAAGCATTTACCCTCAAGATTTAACAGCATCTCTGCACAGCATCATCTTTGTTGGAAGAAAATGGTCAGATGATTTAATAACAATCTTCCTAACTTATTTTTCAGAACCTTTAGAATTAATTTAAATAAATTCCTAAAATATATCTGTAAATGGCGATTAGCCACATTTGCAAAATATTCAGACATAGTGTGTCCCTCAGTGCCATTTTTAAGGATTCAATAGTTGGCTTAGTTTGTTTACAGGTATGCATTACTGTAGGAAATAAGCTGATAAATTACATGGATGTACTCATGTAATTTATCAAGAATTTTTTTTCATGAATTGCTGTCCAAGTGTTTGGGTCTAAATTTTTAAGAACTTTGACCAATTATCTAGCTCAGTGTGGTTGATAGAAGAGGACATCATAATGTGAATAACTGCTCTGTTGATGCTTATTGTACATTAATGAAAATGACTATTTGAGTAGCTTTTAATCAAAGGTTATACCCTCACACATTTGCTAGTTTTAAACAATATGCAAAATATGCATATCTAGGATTCTAAAATCAGAGAAAAAAATACAGGAAAAGCATGTAAATATTCTATATCGATCATCTATTATTTGTTATATCATTACCTTATTATATCTTATTACCTTATTATATCTTATTACCTTATTATCTGCATACTCCAAAATCACTCATAGTAATATATTGTAATTATCACAATATACATGAAATCAAATACAAGACAATAATCAATTCAATGTAATAGCTCATCTCAATATATTAAATTAGGCATCCAGGTGATCATATCTTAAATCCCAAGGCTCTTCTGAACAGCTCTACACAGAAACAGATTATTCTTGTTCAACACTTCTTCTCCCACAGCTTTTGAAAACTTAGGGAGGTCTTTCAGATCATATACAAGAAAATCTCCTTTTCCTTCCTTCTCTCTCTTTGTTTTTTCCCACAACTATACTTTCTCAATGTCTATAAAATTAAATTTTCACACTCAAGGGCTGTATAGAGGAGAGAACAGAAATATAGTTAACCATTCTCAGAGCATTCAAGTAAACATTCGCAAAGCTGATAACAAAGAGATTAAGGAATTACCTTTTTGAAAGTATCTAATTGAATTTGGCAATTCATATTATTTCTAAGAACTAAATAAAGTGTTTATAATGTGCATTCACACTGTTTAATAATAAGTAAGGCTTTTGTGTGAAGATTAGAATGCAGAAAACAAGATTCTTTTAAATGTATAATTGTAGTGTGTGGGTTATTGTTCCATCTTTCAATATTCTTCATTTTTACAGGACCATTCACCTGGTTTAATTTCTGTAACTATCATATGACTCTCAAACACTACATCTTACCACAGTTATAACTATTCCAAGTAAATTGTTTCAGGACTAGAATGCTGGTTGCATTCATTTCATATAGTTTATTCTTCACCTGCTACATAGTTTGGTTTTGAACATAGTTTCCTATTTTATGTCTCCGGTAAGGAGAAGGGCGGGATATAAATTGAATGAATGAATAAATAAATAAATAAATAAATAAATAAATAAATAAATAAATAAATAAATAAATAAATGAATGTAAATAACTACATTACTTCATTGTTTTAGTTAGAATGCAATTTTACTTGTACTTTATTTTGAGAAATGAAATTTGTTTATATTTGCTGCATTTTTATTAGCTTTATATATTAATTGCACAATTTCAAGACAATGTATGGCTTCTATTACTGTATAGGAGCTATTTGAATAACCTCTACAACTGCCATTTATCATGAGAATACAGAGTATTATGATAAATATGGTCACTTAAAATGAATGGTGTTTTAGTGTCCATTCAGCCTGATAGACATAACTGAGAATATTGATGTACATCACCACACTGTTCCCAAGGCTGCTTTTCCTGAGTCGTGTTAATTACCTTTTGAAAGAAATTCTTCAGTGTAGCTTGAGTAGCACCAAAATGGTAGCATGTCATTCTTATGAGCACCACACTACAAGTACAGAATACATGTAGCATCTCAACTTGTTTGAAGCCTTAAGGGTATTGTTTGCAATGCATTTGTATAATATGATTTGATGAACAGGCCATTCATCTAATCCAATTATTAACATAAAAGTATCCTCTCAGAAAGATGAGAATGATTAGATATTTTTCCTCCATTTCCTGAAGCTTAGGAGTTTACCATATTTTGCCTAATGCAAAGCCAGTCATGTTGAACCTTTGATGGGAAAGCCATATAATCTGTGACCATGTCAAATATAGGTTAAGAAGGAAAAGATAAAAATGTATTGATGCATACCTTGTTTCTGCATAATTTCCATTCTTTTTCCACATTGCAAAACAAAAATACATTTTATCTAAATTTCTTTACAAATTGTTCGTTGAATATGTTTGCATTTGATGAACATTTTGTCTTAACTCCTTTCATATTCTCAAAACATGTACTAAGCACTATTAGCCTAATATTTTCAGTATAATCTTTTAGATTCTAATCCAAGATTTCACCACTGCCAGGCTTCTACATAATTACATATGTTCAAGCATCAAGCCCTTTTCAGGCATCAATAAAATATGCATGAAAGGGGTACTAGGAATGGATGGAGCAGATATTGCTGAGTGACTGGAATCAAGCATTTTGGTTATAGATCTCTCTAATAAAGCCAGCCATGTGTATATGAACATAAACCGATGGGCTAACTAAATACTGTTTTTGTAGTTTAGCTGGTAAACAGGTCAAAGCAAGGTCATTGCAAGAAGTGGATTTTACTACAATGAATAGTGCACAAAACTAACGAAAGCTATGCTTCCATATGAAAGTATTCAGAAGCTGTGAAAGAGATATCCCTAATTTAAAAAATGAATATCAAATACAAAATCAAAAGAACAATAATAAGTTTTAGATATATTACTAGTACTTCAATTAAGCTATATGTTATGTTTGTCATTTGTGGTTTTGAAATTTCATGTACAATGTATTAATGAAAGTCCACTGGTTTTGAAATGAACAGCAAAATTTCCACAGGAAGAGAGATGATGCAGGAAATAATTATAGCTGACATAACAAGGCTAGGACTGTTCATGTTCCAACCTGTCATTAGGTCAAATTTACTGTTGCATCGCTGCCTACCTTGTGAATGTAAAATATTCTGTAAGATCTACTTTAGACCATACTTTTCTCTGTATATCTTACTATCATATTGTAATGATCTCTAGATCCCATATAGCCGTTCTCTGTTCTTAAACACTAAAAATATTATTTCATTGTACAGATTCATACAACCACCTGAATTCAGTATCATAGCTTAAATAAGTTCCAAGGTTACCTCATCCACAAGTGAATCTGATGTTGCTTTCATAATTTGCACAGTACAATTTTAATCTGATTTTATAAATATTATTTTTTCTAGATATTCCTTCCGTTAAAATAATACCTTCTACACTGTGGCCAGAAGAAGGACTATCTATAACTTTGATTTGTGAATCCAAAGGAAAACCATTGTAAGTGATTTAACAAGCGACGTGTTTTTGTTATTTTCTTTATTCTCCTTTGATTGCAGCTTCTGACTGCAAAGCTGTACTGTTTTTCTTTTGTCCTGGGGTGTAAAATGATCTCTACTACAGAAAATCCCTTGAAGCATGTCTTCATTAAATGTCTATGGAAGACTGGTCTTTTACTTTGTCATTTATTTTAGTCTTGGGAAAGGATTCCTGCTGTGCATTTTTTTAAAGAAAGCTATTTCTACCTGAAAGAATTGCAGTCTTATTTGCTGTTCATATCATCAGACGGATAGGTACATATTCTCAAAGTAAAGTCTCACATCTGATGAAAAGCTTCTACAATCAACACTTTTTTAACTAAAGTGTTGATCCTCTGTTTCTTTCAGTTGTCATTTACATGGTAATTGGAAATTTAGTGATGTATGCAAATGTTTTTTCAAGTATTCCAATTTTAAAATAGCATTAAGAGAGTGAAGGTGAATATGTTTGAAGTTAACCATGAATGTTTATTTCTTTACAAACAAATGTTAAATTCATTCTGAATATATTTTAAAATTGATTATAATTTACTACTAAGTAAATATGAACAGTATTATATCCACCTACCATTGTGAGAAATAATTCAAATGATCACGTTCCACTTCTCAGTATTATGTTAGATGCTCTCAACACACATGCTTTTTAATTTGTTTAGTTATGTTTGCATACTACACTTCAGGCAAGGTATTGCCAAGTCTGGGACTTGTATTTCTACAAAGAATATCGATGGAGTAACCAATCTTGAAATTTGGATGGAAGAATTTGCTGTAAGTGTTAGGGAGACATGTATATATCCTGGCTGTTTTTCTAAAGAATACACTATTAGCAGTCCAGTTTTTCTTACTCAGAAAGTGGTCTATTTACGATTAATTTGCTATTCTGCTCCCACTTCAATAGGAAGACAACAAAGTAACACAAGCAACAATGATTTTTTACCAGTCAATTATATTATCACAATATACTTTTGAAGACAACTTAAAACCTGCAGTCTATTTATTAGATTTATTTATTCAGATTTGCACATAACACTAGTGCTGAAAGCTCCGCATTGATTTGTCAGGTACCTTTCCGAGGGCTAGTTTTTAAATTTAAAAGCCCCATACAGTGGATATAAAAAGTCTACATATCCTGTTAAAATGCCAGGTTTTGAGACGTAAAAAAAAAAAATCAGATCAAGATAATTTACTTTAGAACTTTTTCCACCTTTAATATACATAAGCTGTACAATTCAATTGAAAGACAATCTAAAATCTTTTAGAGGACAAAATAACAAAAAGTGTATAATAATATGGTTGCATAACCCTTAAAATAATACTTTGTGGAACATCTTTTGATTTTATGACAGCATTCAATCTTTTGGGGAAGAAGCCTATCAGCAGGAAGCATCTTGCCCTGTGAATCCTTTCCCGCTTTTCCTTACAAAAGCACTCCAAATCTGTCAGATTGTAAGGGCATCCTGTCACAGCCCTTTTCAGGTTACCTCACAGATTTTCAATTGGATTTGCATCCTGGCTCTCACCTGGACAATTCCAAAACTTTGGTCTTCTTCTGGTGAAGTAATTCTTTTCTTGAATTGGGTCATTGTATTAAAAAGTGAAATTTATCTTCATCTTCATCAGATTAACAAAGGCCTGAAGGTTTTGTCCAAAATTAATTAATATTTGGAACTGTTTATTATTCCCTCCATTTTGACTAAAACTGCAGTTCTAACTGAAGAAAAGCAACCCCAAGGCATAATGCTGTCACCATCATGCTTTACTGTGGGTATAGTGTGCTTTTGATAATGCACAGTGTTGTTTTTGTGCCAAACGTACTTTTTGGAATCGTGGGCAAAAAGTTCGCCCTTGGTCTCATCACATTTTTTTCAACGTTTTTGTCAGACTTGATGTAGATTTTTGCAAAATGTAGATTTTTGGATGTTGTAAGAAAAGGCTTCCATCTTGCCACCTACCTCACAACTCAGACATACCCCATGTAGTACACAACCAGTAGTTGCCAGAAATTCCTGCAGCTCGTTTAATGTTGTTGTAAAAATCTTGGTAACCTCCCAGACCTTCTTGGGTTTTTTTAATCAATTTTAAAGGGACATCCAGTTTTTGACAATGTCACTGTTCCATTTTTTCTACACTTGTTGATGACTATCTTCACTATATTTCATGGTATATCCAGTGCCTTGTAAATTGTTTTGTACCTTTCTCCTGAATAATACTTTCCAACAGTGAAATCCCTTTTATGCTTTGTAAGCTCTTTGCAGACTATGGCTTTTGCTGTAAGAGGCAACTGAGTAAATGTCTGAAAAATCCTACTACAATAGCTGAGCTTTACATGGCCTTGATCAGTCATTTAATTGATGGTAAATGTATACCATCAGTTTGAATATAATTGGTTAATTCTGAACAGAGTCACAACATAATAACTATAATCTTAAAAATTCTCAAAACTAGTCAAGCCAACTGCAGACCTAATTCCTGTGGGGGGGGGAATATTTTAATTGTAATTTTGAGATGTAATTATCGCAGTGACCTTTTAAGGCAAACTACCATAAAAATTGGCTTTTTTAATTATGAAGTTAGAAGAAAAAGTTAATTATAAAACTTGTCTCCAAAAAGATTGGAGATAGGGATTTTCTTTGGTTCTGATTTAGCATCTGGGAAAAAAAAAGAAACTAAAATGGATGCTGGAAAGATGGTAAGACAGTGGTGGCGAACCTTTTAGAGACCGGGTGCCCAAACTACAACCCAAAACCCACTTATGTATCGCCGGGTGAGCGTGGCTTGCTGGATGGGCATGGCCCACTGGATGGGCGTGGCTCCTGCCACTGCCCCCACCCCCACACGACACCTTTTTTCCAGCTCCGACACATCACTTCCTCTGCTGCTGTGTGGGACTGAAAATAAAGTTCAATCAAGCAATTCCAACTTGCGAGATCTTTTTTTTTCCCATGAGAAGTTGAAATTGATTGATTGAACCTTTTTTTTTTTTGCACACGGCGGCGGAGGCCTAGGACTGGGGTGACAGTGTGCATGCCCACAGAGAAGGCTCTGCGTGCCATGGGTTCGCCACCACAATGGTAAGAGAATGATGTATTGACCTTGACATATGCTGTTGCAAAACAATGGATAGGACCATCTTTACATCAAGATCATAGGCTTGTACAGAAGTTTCATCAAAATGACAAAAGTGTGATTTAGAGAAAGGCAAAGGAGTGTAGAAGCCATAAGCAGATAACAGACAGTAAATATCTCAGTCCTGGACAAAATAAACATGCCTTAATTCTGCACTATAGGTGGGGCAGAGAAAAGCTCTACAAGTTTCCAAACTTCTGTTATTACATCCTACAACAATAAAATCAAGTTGCAGGAATTCCTGCAATATCTTTTTCTTGGTTTGCCCTACCTTGAAAGGTCAGATATGTTGCAAGATCACAATGCAAGTTTTACCATTAGTATTTGCATAGAGCAGAGGTCTTCTAACTTGGCCCTTTTATGACTTGTAGACTTCAACTTCCAGAATTCCTCAGCCAGTGTGCCTGGCTGAGGAATTCTGGGAGTTGAAGTCCACAAGTCATAAAAGGGCCAAGTTTGAAGACCCCTGGCATAGAGTGTCACAATGGAAGTGCAAAAGGGTAGAGTTCATGTTGTCTCCCCTTCCCCTTGCCTCCACAACCATAAACTGAATAAATCTATAAAGAAAAGAAAACAGGAAAAAAGTTCCCTAACCTTTGCAAGTAGATTTGGAATATTAAAAAGTTGTATTTGAAATCTGATATTTTTTAATTGCAAGGCTACTTATATTTCACCAATAACTCTTTTAAAATATACTATTCTAGAATTTGTAATGCTCTACAACAGAGGTGTCAAACTCACAATGTCATGTGCCATGTCGCGATATATCACGACTTTTTTCCAATGGGAGGGTTTTATCATGATGCATCTGGCCTGCAGACCGGCAGTTTGACACTCCTGCTCTACAAGCTAACGAGATCAGGTGCATATGTAATCTAGCAACAATAAAGATATATTGAAAGACAAACCATTTCTAGTAGGAAATGTGTTTATACCTTACATTGAAATGTCACAGACCTTATTGGAATACTAGTAGATAAACAACCTAAAAGCCATTACCATATGTGACTACATAGAAAAACTATTGAGATCTGTAAAGACGAAGCAGTTTGAAAATAAAAAAAATATGGTTCCCAGTTTTATGCCACACCAAGAATATACTGGTCTTAACTAATCAAAAAGTATTTTCAGCAGCTTCAGCAACAAGAACACCTCACAGATTTCTGCTCAAAGACAAGCCATGAAATACTTCAAAATAGACCAATTAGAAGTCTACCCATGCAAAGAATCAATCAGCAACCTAGTTCAGGGACAAGATAATCAGGAACTGGTTCTCTTGGAATTTCATCAAAATGGACTAATCAGAAATTTGCCCAGCTTTCTTGGACTCCCATGACATAGATCAATGAAAGATCAGTTTGCCAGGTTCAAATGCAATACAATATAGTTAATTTGTCTTCAGTTGCCTGTAAGCTACCAAGAAATACACTAAAAGTAAACTCACTCTGTCTCTGAGGTCAACTGCTGGAAGAACATCAGGACACTGGAAAACTAGATAACAGCTATTCATCTGATAGGTCCTCACTTTTGAAATCATCTGGAGTTCCAGAGTACAATAATGCAAACTTAGAGCTAGTCAGAATATGCTGTTCTTATAAAGCTGTTTATCTTGGATGTCATTTAAAAAAATATACAAAATATATATTCTAGCTCCCTTCATTTTCTTCAGAATTCTTCAAATATCCAGCTGGAGTTTCTGAGGTATCATAGTAATCCAGCATTGGAGAACTATAATAAATACCTGCATAGAAATTATGAGTTTGAAAATCACTATCTTAGAAAAAAGATTCAAGCAAAATAGTGTGGTTTTCAAATGAATTTTCAAATTAAAACAAG